TAATGACGGTCGGTGCTGTGCTGAGGGCGCCCGCACGGGGTTCGCTGGCCGCGCCGCCTGTCGTCTCAAGTCCTTTGCGTCTCGAGGCTCCTTTGGCCGCGGCGAGTTGGCCTTTGAAGCCCGCCCATCTTCTGGATCCGAGTGGCCCTGGGCAGTCCTCCGCTGCTTGGTGCGCGGCGACCCGCCCGCGACCGTTTTACTACGCCCCACCTTTGCTGTCTGCACATTGTCGGAGATGATGTCCTCAATGGGCCGCGGTTTTCGCGCCTGCGCAATCGCCAGAGGGCCAGCATGCGCGGGCAGGAAGGGGGCCGCAATGCTCGCCAGCACCAGGCTCGAGAGGACCGTGACGGGCAGTATGTTCTCCTTGATCTTCTCCCGCCGCTGCGGCTCGGCAGAGCCAAAGACGATGCGCTGCACGCGGTTGTAGATGCGCCGACATGTCTTGAAGGCGATCGAGTTGGGCGCGCTGGCCAGGTCGTGGAGGTACGTCTGGAAGAGCCAGAAGGTCTGCGGTATATTAGTACCCACTCGGGCTAGCGAGAGACACAGTGTCCTGGAGGCCCACCAGCAGCGCGCCGTTGACCGACTCCTCGCACAGGTCTATTATGAACTCTTCCAGGGCCATGGACTCATTGTCGATGCTTATGAGGAGATGACATAATCTGGTCCCGCCGTGTAAGCTGTGCGTTCATGCGGGTGCCGGCAGAGCGAGCGGCGACGTACTGCGGGAGGAAGAACTCGAGCTCCTCGTACGCAAACTGGCGCAGCTTGGAGCACAGCACATAGTGGATGCCGACGTGGTCTGCATATCGCCTGTAGGGCCCGCGGGGTCAGCGTGGTGTGCGAGCGGACATGTCGGTGAGGACGAGGGTCTGCGGCGGTGCAGTGCCTGTGGCTTTGGGCAACGGGCAACGGGCAACGAGCAAGCAACTCACGCAAGATAGGCCACTGCCAGCGACGGGTCCGTGTTGAAGTGGTCCGACTCTATGAAGCGCTCAAGAAGATTCCAACTCATCTGGGACGGCTCATTGGGGCGCTGCGACGGGAGGGGAGGGAGTGGGAGAGTTTCAATGCGCAAAAGGGCGCCTCGTAGAAATGGGGTAGCAGCAGGGTTCAGCGGAGCTCGCCAAGTCCGCCGCCCGGGAGCTGCACCATCAACCATGCATGTCCAGTGTCCCGTGCTCTGCTCCAATCACATTACATTCGCAGTGCGTCCTACTTCTACTCCATCCTCTCGCAAAACTTGACAAGCAGTTATTCCGCCCGTTCTGCCCATACGCCGATAGATCTCGAGCACGAATCAGCCACCCAAACACCAGACGCCGTGTAGCAATAGCAGATCTGACAGCGCCGTGTACAAGAATATGGTACAGAGAGAAGCACAATATATACAAGACGCCACACTCTAGTCTGCAGCATGCAGATCGACAAAGATGTTGATGGCCGCAACAACCACCTCGGTAAAGACGAGGATGATGACAATCCATTCGAGTAGTTCGCCCTGCAAGTCGTTAGTCGGGCATGTCACCGCAAACGGTCGAAGCACTTACATGTGTGACCGTCAATTGGTCCTTGAGCACGGCAAGCAGGTCGCCGATAACGTTCAGCCTCTCTGTCAGCAGGCTGACTCTCTGGTCCATCTCGAGGTAGCTTCGCACCGCCTGATAGACTGGGTCGAGCTGTGGCTCTGCCCACATGAGCTCTGGCGCGTCAAGCACCGAGCCCTGCAGATGGATGCTGATGCGCAGTATGAACAGCTCGCCAATCTGCATATTGATCTGCTTCTTGTTGAGGTTGATTTTGCCCGAGCTCGCAATCTGAGCTGGAATATCCTTGGTGTCGTCGATGGTGTTGTCTACCAAGTCTTCGAAAAGCGACGTCTTGACGCTCTGCGACAGACCGTGGCTGATGGCCAGCTTGATCATGTAGTTCTTCTTGTCGCGAAGACTGATAAAGTCGTTGTAGATCCGGGCTTGGTACTCGCGCGTGTAGTAGAAGTTGAACTCTTCTGTCTCGACTTCGTCTTTGCCGAGCTTGTCAACCTCGAACTTTGCAATCTCCTTTAAGAAGCGCTTTTCCTCCTGCAGCGTCATACCCCAAATCACAATCGTGCCGTACTCGAAGAGAAATACTTCAGGCGTGTGAACCTGAATGTCAAAATCTGGCGTCTCCATCTGCGGGTCCGAGTCTGCATGCGTTATGGAAGGTCTCCGAGGTCTCTCCAAAGCGTCCTCTGTCGCTTCTTCCCCTTGTATGTCTATCAAGTTGTCTCTTCGTCTCTCGTTCTCGTGTTCGACCTCAATGGCGCTGTCGGAGAATCTCCTGGGTCTATTCTCTGGGTTGCCGTCCAGCGCAGCAGTGCTGGCCACCTCTTCTGGTCCTTTCGACCCGTAATTGTACGGCGAGTAGATGCATTCATCGAACCTTTTGGGCAAAGCACCTCGAAGTTTCTGCTTGCCCTTCAAGAAGCGCATGAGCTCGTCCAGCTTGTAAGAGGCAGCGGTACAGTATGCCGTGACTCGAGGCAGTCGCTCGCGGTCGGCCTTGCCCAGTCGCGCGGCATCTCTCCTAGCCGTTGGGTCTTTTATCCGCGTGTATTGAACGTACACGTCGCGACCGCTTTCTTCGTCTTCGCCGTCATCATTGGCCGGATCGGGCAAGAGCTTCAGTTTCTGCGCGGTTCTTGTTGTTCTTTGCGGGCCAATCTTGGGTGCGGGCGGGCCTCTTATAGGCGCACCTGAGCTGTTCCGTCTCCGCAGCTTGCTATTCAGTGTAGACAGCATCGGCTGGCCGCCATGGCTGGTACCAGAGGCCTGAGCGCCTGAAGAAAAGGACCGCGGCGGTTCGGTCGGTTTGGACGACGACACAGTGGGATTGAATGTGACTGTACGCTGAGGCTTTGGCGGCTTTGCGGCGGACTGGCGTTCTGTGTGCGACAATGCTGGAATTAGGGGCGTTGTTTCCGTAGAGCTCGACGCCATTGTGATAGTTCTGCTGAGTGTCTTCTGCCGCGATTATCCTTCACTTCCTCCACACTGAACTAAGCATGTGACATGTCACAATGGCGGAATAAAAGGTTTAGCAGGGCCATGGACCGGGGTGGATGCTTGCGATGTTGATGTGTGGTGCAAGAACTGTTGCTTGTGATTGAGAATTGCATGACGTAGAAGCTTGGGCCGGCCCAAGCCCACGTGGGAACTACTCCACATGCACCGCCGTTTCTTCCGAGCATCACATCGCTAGCGTGCACTGCAGAGTTGACAATACAAAAGTTCACAGTAAGCGACTGTAGCGCTTCATAGACAGATATACTCGAGAATTTCCGAAAGTAGATAACGCGCTTGATGTTATGGCACGCAACCAAGAATGTCTTGAAGCTATCCACGTTCAAATAAAGCCTCCAGAAATGCATTACCCGCCACCTATGTCAGCCTCAAGAACACAGCTCTCGCGATCATCTCCAGCAGCGATAGCTGGAGATTATGTCTTTCCAGCCAAAAAGGCCCAAATCGGACACGTATCTACGGGATTCGCCGACATAAAAGTCTACAACGATGTCAGCAGACGGACCTTTACTTCTCAAAAAGGAGCTCCACCTACATAGACTACCAGAAGCACAGTCGCCGTTAGGATAGAATCGACAAGCGAACCCTTCCGAAATCGCGAGGGACGAGATCACATTATTCCAGTCACTGGTCACATTGTAGCACAGTTCGACTTGGCGACTAGCTGGCGAATTCATGTTTTCGAGCCATTTATGCTGTGGCTTACCTAGTGTCCACATTATTTTAGATTCACTGCTCCACTGCTTCGCCTTGAAGACGCTGACGGCTAGAAAGTCAGTGTTGGTGCTGTCTTTTTGGGTGCTTGTGCTGGTGGTCGCAGGATCCTCAGACTCCTTGTGGGCAAAGAGAACCGCATTCTCGTCGGCAGGAAAGGAAAAGTTCTGCACTGAAGGGTCGATACAAGCCTGTCCTCCTTGAGGATTTTCGCTTGTTGGTAAGGCAGTAGCGCCCAAGAACAGAGCAAGGTTGAATGCGACAAGGCGCATGATGGGAGATGAGGAGAATTGTAATGAGATGAAGTGTTTCTGGAGATTCTGGTCCTTAGATTTAAGACAATTTATACTGTCGTTCTATGCACCAACCATGGGCACAAAGGTCAGGGATTAGGTCTCACAAACACAAGTGGGTGGTACTGTGCCAACCGGTGAGCAGAAAGGCGCAGACAAACAGACATGGATCTGCCTCCGTCGGTTTGCGATTCGTTAGTCGATGCGGCCATAAGGATGGTGTTACTCCTGGGGGTTGTCCACTTTGGCGTATCTTGCAGCGAGCGTAGATAAAAGGTCGCCTTCGAAGTGACAACAGGTAGTGATTCAGAGGTGACTACTGTCTAGACAGTCTGAAAACTTTAAGAATTGAATGATTCGTGCCGGCTTCGTGCAGAATGCATAGTTGCTCGAATATAGCAATCAAATCTCCTAGAGGAGTTATAAAAGGCATGCTGCTCATCGTTGCCGATGTAGCCGTGCATTGCGGAACGCGAACACCCCAGAAGAAGTTAAATCAGCGTATGCCAGCTGTCTCTCGTCGGGTCCCCGCGTCAAGCACAACTGAATGCTTGGAGTAAGATACCCGGTACACGCGTTTCTGTCAGAAGAGACTGGGAGAAAAGGAGGAAATAGATCCCGACAAGGTGGCTTTGATTGATTCGCATATTCCAGAATGTCTTCATGGTATAGTCCTGGCAGAAGACGTATGTCTACTAGTGTCAGCAATGCCAGCGTACCGAGGCAGACAGCAGTTGATCTGAGCAACCGATGAAGTTTTGCGGACTACGGGTGTTGTGGAATGGATCTGGAATATTCAGCTCCATTGAGACGATTCTTCGTCTACGCTTTTCCCTTGCCATTGTGGCAAGTTGAAGGTTTCCACGTCAACTGTTCCTCAAGATACATCTCTTCATATTGTTAAACTCTCCATGATCGCCTCTATGCTACCGTGGTGTGGTGGTATCACGTTCCCTTCACATTCTCTGTGTACGGGAAAGGCCTCGAGTTCGATCCTCGACGGTAGTATTTTTGCTTCTGCGATGGATGCCTCCGCTTCAACACAGCCCTGGAGGAGTCGGGAAGCTAAGGCAGCTTTGGCAAGCAGCGGTGTTGTGAAATCCAGTTGAAGTTGTCTCGGCTGGCGAAGGCAGCAATATGATCCTTTTGTTAGCTACGTGCGGCTCGAGTATTCCAACGCTTCGCGAAGAGAATGCGCGGCTGTTGATGAAACTGATGAGGAGTCTCATAATGTGAGCAGCCCGCGGATGAAAATTGGTCGAAAAGGTTGCTGAGGGCTAGCTGAACTAGCAAGCCGTTGCAGTGGAACCAATGACGTGCATCTGCAGTTAGATCAGTCGAGTTGGTGAAATGTGCGTCGTTCCAAGTTGTGATGTGAAGAAGATCGTGGGATGACATCAGCGATCCCTTCCGCTTCGGCAACCTCGGCCCTCTCACGCGACCCAGCGCTCACCCCACAAACGCGAGACATTTCATCTAAACTGCATCCAGACGCCTCCTAACCGCGCCTGGACAACTTCCTTCATCCGGCCCTCAAACACGTTTAGCCTCGGTGCCTCCCGTCCCTGCTGCCGTGCGCTTTCCAGGCAGTGAGCCGCAGTACATGCGCGGCCGAGAAGTTGCGCTTCCAACAGCGCGGTACGTCAGCGCGTCGCAAATTCGAGTTCCTGCAGCTTGGAATTGCTTGGGCTGCGGCCGCGTTGCGAAAACGCATCGGATTGGGTGGGTCAATCATGGGGTTAAGTGACGCCCTGGTGTTATGATTCGTGGGGTGACTATATGGTACGCTGGTGGGGAGACGCTGGCACAGCCTACTCGTGACATTGATTCCCCGCACAAGGCTCCCGTATAACATTTCACATGTCCCCCGGCCGCTTGGATTCTGGTATCCGAATCTCAAACCGCCACATTCATCACTCAAACATCGCTATACCGAACACCACCCGCGGCCGATACACCAAAGCATCTTGGCCAGCAACCTCCAACAATCTTCCGTCCATCCGTTCCCACATCAAACGAACAAAGCAACTATAAACGACCAAAGTCACTTCGTACCATCAACAGCCTCGATCACTTCGAGAAACCATACTCATCGCTGTTGACACCCTCTACCACAATGTCATTCCGCTTTGCGCCACTCTGTCAACGCCTCTTCTCAACTTCATCACGTGCCCGCGCCACCGTCATGCCCATGGAGAACATGGCTGCTGCACAGTTGACCGCCACAGCAAATGCTGTACCCAGGCTCGGAAGAATTGCTAAATGGTCCGTCATCTGCACTCCTTGGACTATTCATCACTAACACCTCCAAAGGTATCTACCAACCATGGCACTTATTGCCGTTGGTATGACACTGAGTGGCCGTCGAACAGCTAGCAAGCTCGACGTTGCTAATCGCAACATAGGCTTTGGTATCACTAACCACCTTCACGACCTCAACCGGAAGGTGCACCTGTCAGAGCCTACGCAGGAGGAGAAGAACATGATGTTGCTCAACATGTATGGCGAGCGCTCGAGCTTGGAAGATATGGAGAGGGCAATTGCAGGTCTGGATTCACAGGCCAAGCCCCCAATGAGCAAGAACCAGGCTCTCGAGGAGGCATACGGAGACAAGTCGAGCATTAAGGACTTGTACCGCGCGATGGAGATCTACGAAGTCCAATGAATAAGGGAAACAACCAAGCAGGATGAAGAACAAGCTACTCGCTCCGAGTTGGGAATAGAGAGGTGGACATTAGGCCATGAAGACTGCCTGGTGCAGTATCAGATTGAAGCATCGCGCGCGCGAAGAGCCAGGAGCCACGCCGCTGGGATCGAAGACTGGAAGTGCACGCTTAGTGACAACAAGAACAAAAGCGCGTCGCGACATGATCTAGCCGAGAAGAAGTTGGAAGAAGAGTTTCATGCCACAACGAGCTGGCCGGTATGGGAGCCGGAGGACTGTTACGAGAATCACTCGTCAATGACCCACGAAATCAAATCCCCATCAAACAAAATCAACAAACTAAAACTAGTATAAAAATAATTGAAACAAATTTTCATCAAAACATGCATCTCCACCACACTTTTTTGATTTTTAGTTTTCCAAACCCGGTGCGGTGCTCTCGCTGCGCTCTTCGCAGTTCGCGCGGTCAAATCAAACACCGAAATCTCCCGACTTCCCCCGACGGCCGCGCTCGCACGCATCGGTAACTTTCAACCACGTACGACCGTCCAACGTCTGTGCTTGCAATTGCTCCACTTCCCGACCAATACCGCCATGTTCGATGATTAGAAGTCCTGATACACGGAAGCGGAAATTATATCGGCATTTGATGGGTGGAAATGGCATGATGTGAGCCGCACTACCGGTAGGTGAAGACAAGCAAGAAGAGATGTGAGATGGTGGTTAAAGTTCATACTAGTTTCATTCTGTATCTTTTATCATACAATGCACATTTGAAAAGAATACTAATCACCCCATCAATACTATTCACTCCGCAGGAGCTTCCATTCTTGCGCCAACAATGCAACTTCTCGTACTTCGTCCTTCCTCGCATATCAATCTCCAATGCATCGACGTGTTGTCGTCTCTCCAGGGTATCATGGTTGTCTCGCACGCAGCATGGTGCGCTTAGATAAGGAGGTAGGCGAAGAAGCTGGCGGCACCAGCAAAGACAGCGCTGCCAGCGAGGTGCGATGCGGCACCTGTTGACTGAGGAGCGCCGGAGCCCGAAGCAGTGGGTGAGCCAGACGCCGCGGTGCTGTTCTCGGTGAGGTTACCGCCGAAGCCAGCAGCCGACTGTGGGGTGACGTTGTTCGCGGCCAGGGAGGAAGCGTTCTTGTAAGCGGCTAGTGTCCTCTCGCCGGTTTTACTGTCTCATGTTAGCGCGACGAATTTGGAACCATCGAAGAAGACTTACGGTGGGTTGATGACACCGACCATGCCGCCCTGGCAATGACGGCCTTGTGTGCAGTAGAACCAGACAGGCGCTGAGGCGTTGGTGACTTCGTATGTGAAGGTCCAGTTGGCGAGGGATTCAGTGGAAGTCGTTGGGACATATCCTGACCAGAAACCGTTGTTCATAGGCTGGCATGGCTGCGCGAAGGTGCTCTGAGCGACGGAGTGGTTCTTGGGCCAGAACTTGAAGGTGACGGTGTCGCCCTGCGCAGCCTCGAGGCTGTCAGGCTTGAAAGTGAGACCAGCGGTCTTGTTGCTGACAACAACGACATGGTTTGCCGCAATAGCGGAGCCAACGAGGGCAGTAGCAGCGAAGATGTTTGAGAAAAGCATTATGATGGATGTGATTGGTGTTCTTCGAAAGGAGACTAGCTCGTTTTTGGATGGAAGGTATGAAAGAAGAAGGAACAGAAAAAGTACTAGTATGAACTGTGAATTGATGGACCGGCCTGAAAAACAAGAACAAGAGATGCGCGCATTTGAGAGAGTTATATACCATGCTCATCGAAACACTGCCCGCCACCAGGACAGGCTCCAAGATGGATGAATCGGCCTGAGCAGGCCATGGCGGAACACCTTCGCGACACCTCAAGTCTCGAAGGCATGCACAATTGACGCCTTGACCCGTGAAACAACTATATGAAGAACATTATAGCTGACGACGCACGCTGCTATTGGGCGCATCTGCCACACGCGCCGGGCCCCAGCCACGTCCCATCGTACGGTGCCTGAGGTCCCGGAAGTGGCTGTTTGAGAGCCAAGATATCAAGGCGCGAAGGCTACGAATCGAGGAGGCGGTTTGTGTTTCTGCGAAGGGGATGAAACTCACGAGGGTGGATGTGAGACGCGAGGAGTCGTAGAGCGCGAAGGTCGACCAGAGCACGGACCTACCTGCGACAATTGCCCTTCGAATTTCGGTTGCTACTCTCTTCCGACAGGACCACCACCTTTTTTAGCGATGTCGTTGCCACGGCGTCTGCGGGGTAGGTCCATTGACAAGCCGTTGGAGGTCGACCTCAGTGGTTTCTTCGAGCCAAACTCGTGAGCTTGGCAGGATTTGCGCGCACGCGCCAGCCCTGTCTTGAGAGTTCTCTTTCATCATCTGAAGGAATCCACATTCTAGTATTGAAGATCGTCATGTGACAGACTGGTGAGTGTTGATTTCAAAGTTCGAAGCCCATTTTGTCAGTTGATGAAGTATGTGAAGGTTAGCGGGCAATGAATAGTGCTGCTGAGATCGTGAACAAGTTAGCCGCTAGCCGCCCGCGCCTTGCACCCAACATCAATCGCGGATTCTCTTCTGTCTTCACAATAACACTTCGAGAATTCTTCCTGAGCATCGTACAGTGAGGAGCAAAAGGAAGCTGACTATGCCTCCGGGTACTGTACGCGACCAGAGTTGACCGGACAAACGACCAGATAGACATTGACTGACGGGCCAATGACGCAACGTCGTTTCCACTTACCAAATCGAGACGCATCTCAACTACCACTTGAAGTTGCGAGCGATGATAGCCCAAACCGATGGAGGTCGTCGCATGCAGCAGCTAGTGCTGCGGCATGTGTTTGCGAGTGCGGAAGATGAGCGACAAATCCTCGTGGCTTAATCATTCACCAGAAATCTCGAACTGCGATCTGCAATCTTGTCGGAAACAGCAAGAAGCCAGCTGTAACAGCGACTAGAACGGACGGCCTTACAATGACAGCAAAGTTCCAAGACCAAGTAGTCTTCATTACCGGCGCAGCCAGCGGCATCGGGCGCGCCACGACGCTCAAGCTCGCGGCACAAGGTGCCTCCGTGGCCATTTGCGATGTCAATACATCCATGCTTGGCGATACCGAATCGCTACTCCCGAAAAATACACCAGTATTGGCCCAGAAGGTTGACGTATCGTCCGAAGCAGACGTTGTGTCTTTTGTCAAAGCCATCATCAGCAGATTCGGCCGCCTAGATCACGTCTTCAATTGCGCTGGCTTGAACCCAGCCAACATCCCTTTCGAAGATACCAGTCTTGAGTACTTCGATAAACAGATCGGCGTCAATGTCAAAGGCGTATTTTTGGTCACG